AATCATTTGCTAAAACATTGATAGCCTTAACTCAACCTTTACTTTCAAATATATTATTTTAACAGATATTTAATCCTTTCTTTCAAACTTTAGACTTTCAATCAATTTTAAACTTAAAAATATTTTTCGGAGTATTTGACGATGTACACATTACATTCATTGTTTGTTAATTAAATATAGTGTATAATTAGTACTGTATTTAATAGCCGATAAGTTATAAAGGTACTTTATTAAAAAGGTACTTTAAAACCGTATTTGTAATAAATTTGTTGTTTTTAATACTTTTTAATATTTTTTGCTAATAAATAACTCCAACGTGTCTTAAAATCTGTATTATTAATAATGCAATTTAAATATTTAATTATATTTTAAATGAGAATATATTTAATATTTCATCTATATAAACTTTCTTATTACCATTACTAAAAATTTAATACAGAGACTATTTTAGGTTTTAAAACCCAATTTAATAGTTTTTAAATTATTTGTTAAAAATCAAATACAAAATAAACTAATTTACATTAAGTTTTAAATACCACATGATATGTTACTTGATTATATTTAATTAGTGTTGATGTTTAGGTATTTGATCATGATTATTTGTCAATTCTTTAAAAAACGAATTTATTGCAAGACTGAATATCTAATCATTGATAATCTTAATAATTATAAATCAATACTTTTATTATTTGAATCACATTTAATTAAAGTAAAATACAAAAAAAAAAATAAATGCCGATTCTTAAGGATTCTTTGAAATGGATTTGTACATTAAATTTTTAAATTAGATTTATATTACATTTTTAAAATGGCATCTAAATCATTTAAAAGCGTAAAAGATGATTCTGCTAAAAATTCTGTTTTTTAATTTAAGGCATTACGGTACTAATAGTTTTATATTAATTGTGAATCAAACAGAATTTAGTAGATTTCAATGAAAATAATTTTTATTTTATAAAATTTAATGTAAAATAAAATGCGAATCAAATTATAAAATAGAATAAAAATATACAGTTAGTAGTTTAGTTTGTACATTGGCTAACTATAAAAATGTGAAATCTTCATAATATGAAGCATATTATGTTTTTTAACAAGATACTTTTAATGTAGTGAAATACACATACACAATGTACTCAATACACATGAAATACACAAGTATATCAATATCAAACTAATTAAACCAAAATTATTTCGGTTCTTTAAATATTTCAAATTTATTAAAAATTTTTGCAAATTCTGTTATATATTCTATAAATATTTTACATAAAGTATGAATGCTAAAATTCTATACTACAAAATAATAATAGATTTACGACAAATTAAATATTCTGTTAAGTATTCAAATAATTAACTTTTTGATAATAGTGGTTAATTTAGTTTAAATTACATAAATTAGTGATTTATTTAGTAAATATGTGAAATTCCGAAATGTTTATTATATGAGAATATGTTAT